ATATATATATATATATATATATATATATATATATATATATATATATATATATATATATATATATATATATATATATATATATATATATATATATACTACATAGTATATATATATACGCTATGTATATATATATATCCCAATTTCTGTATATCGGAGAGATTTTTTTCAGCACATTTTTACACATAATAGTTTTAATAACTCATTTCTAATAAGTGATTTAGTTTATCTTTGCCATGAAGACAGTAAATAATATTTGACAAGATATTTTTCAAGACACTTCTATACAGCTTAAAGTGACATGTAAATGCTTAACTAGGTTAATTAGGTTAATTATTCAGTTTAGGGTAATTAGGCAAGTTATTGTGTAATGATGGTTTGTTCTGTAGACTATCGAGAAAAAATATAGCTTAAAGGAGCTAATCATTTTGTCCTTAAAATGGTGTTTAAAAATGTAAAATATTATCAGACATACTGTGAAGATTTCCTTGCTCTGTTAAACATCATTTGCGAAATATATAAAAAAAGAACAAAAAAGGGGGCTATATATAGTATATATACAGTATATATATATATATATAGTAATTTATATATAGTAATTTTAAATGTTATTGCTAGTTTTAGGACTGTAATATTTGTTAGATTAGTTCTAGTTTTGGCTTTGGTACCGACTAATCTAATGTATATGCACAAATATTTTTTCGTAAAGCTTCCTACAGAAAATATGAATTTAAAAGAGAGATCTGTGAGGGGTGTACTCATTTGTGCTAAGTTGTATATTATAGAAGAACAATGAATAAAATAAAAATAATTTAAAAAATACATATTACATACTTTTTTTTAAATATCTTTTACTTTATGTATAAGGTTGTTTGCCCACTTAAGATTTTTTCCACCTTGGTTACAGAACAAACAACTACTGTCCAATGACTTGCTATGCCTAAAAATAAAATATATATGTATTTTCACAACAAAAGCATTGAAGCCAACAATGCAATAATAAGTCATTACAAAATCAGTAATTTTAGGCTGCAAATATTTTTATTTTTTTTTAAGTCAGTTGTGCTTGCCAGGGCATAAAATTGCTCTCAGGATGTTGAGGTTTTCTGCATGTAGTTGTGTGGCTTTACTACGATGAATTTTATGGTTGCAATGTGGCTGCTTCCAAGCTCATGTCAAAAGACCCCACACCTCATTTATGACAAGTTTGCATTTCCGTTAGCATTGCCTTTATACTTTTGTTTTCTTGTTTTATTATTCATCCAGCAAAATGAACTGCACATTTCACTTCCACGAGCTGCACTAAGAAATAATTGATCTCCAAATCATACAATCAAGTTACATTTCAAAGCTCATATTTTTAGCACGCACACTAGGGTAAAGGTCTTCATGATGCCACATGGACCTAAAACAACAGATATCTGACCTAAAGAGTTCTGGTCCAACACTTAGTATTAGATGCCTCAGTTAATGTAAATTAAAAGTGCTTTTCCCATATGGATCCATTAACAGCTAAACAATTATAGGATATAAAGAAGCTACAATGTTTTATTTATTTATTTATTTTTTTCTAAATTTTGTAGAGAACCCTCATCATAAAGGAAACAAATTTATCCAATAAACTAGTCACAATTGAAAGCCGAAGAAACTGGCATTCAGTAGTAAGGCAACAAGGTAATAATATATTTAAATAAATAAAGTCTTAGTTATATAATGATTTAGTGGCCAAATAAGTCAACAACTCACTAGCTTATGTTCATACTGACTTCATGGCTGTGCACATAGCAATGTAGTTCAATTCTAGTCTAAAATAAATGACGTCAAGAGTCGAATTTGGATGTAATATTATTTGGGTGTAATTTTCCTATATCAGGTATTTTCTGTTTAGGGTCTGTCGGGTTCTTCCTTAAAATTCAGATATCATTTGTGCTTTAAATTATTTATGCACTACTTAGTTTGTCCACACCACTGAACAGATGCATTACTTAACCGAGTATTACTATTTATGACAAGGTGTCAAGCAGCATTGAATTGGGGCGTTATTTAACTGACAGAAAAACACAAGATTCGTTACAACATCAAATGACTGAAGACGGACAAAAAAGTATTAAAAAAAATAATAATGATATTAAAACTCAAGCCTACAGTGACAAGTGCATGTGTGATGGTCGGTTCACACAAAATGCGTTTTTACTTTCCAACGTGCTACTTTTCTATGGTTTTTCAACTTAAACACAGCTTGATGGATGTGTGTGACTGGAACGACTGTGTCTCGCATCTTTTAAAGTGCCACGCACGTGAGTGCCACATTGTTTAGACGATAAGTCAACATTTTCTGCTCATTACTGTCAGTTTCACAGCACTGAACCAATCAGAAGAGCTCGGAGGTTGGACAATCATTGCTAGTTTACGTTTACAGGCGCTCTGCTATGCTGTGCTTTTTTTTAAGACCGTTCTGAACCGTTGCATCTTGCGGTTTTAGAAGCAAAGACGCGTTAAGTGTGAATGACAGCTAAGGACATTAAGAGAAGATGCAACGAAATGAAAATTCTGAGCGAAAACCGACTGGAAATTCTATGTGTGCCAAATTGAAAAATACTTAAAGTATTTTTTATTATTTTTGGTCACAATTTACAATAATGTTTCATTAATTAATGTTAGTTTACATGTTTACTAACATGAACTAAGAATGAGCAAAAGATCAATTGTATTTATTAATCATAATTCAACATTTACTATCATTAAAATCCAAATTCAAGTTCGTTAGCAACTTTATTTTCATTAACTAATGTAAACAAACATGAATAAATACAACTATAAAGGTTTGTTTATTGTTTGTTCATGTTAGTAAATGCTTTAACTAACAATAACTAATACAACCTTGTTGTAAAGTGGTACCATTTATTAATAAGTATAGAGTTAGTTTGTAAGACTGTTTTCAATTTATTTTATACCAATGAAATAAAAACAACAAAAGCCAATACAATAACCACATAGCATTTTTTTATCTCATATTTTTGGCTAAAAACTGAAAATGGAGGCCAAATATTTTGTGCTTCCCTTATTAAAAGTTACTCGCAACCCTATTTTAAACAGTTCGATGACAACTGCTTTCGAGAGAAACTTTCTGAGAGAAAAAACGCAGGCACTGGACAGGGTTGATTGAGCCTGGTTTATACTTCTGCGATGTGTAGTTACATTTTTTGAGAGGTGCACGTCAGTAACAGCCACATCAAGGACTATGCGAGCACACTCCGCCGGATAATATGCGTGAGCTTGTACTGTACACTACACACTTATGACGCATTAGAAGTTATTCATAATAATACTTAGAAGTATAAGTGCTAATAAAAAAAATAAAATCAAATGATGTGCGTGTGATAACTTATTACATCTGATTTGGCAAAGATCAGCATTCCAATCATGGTGAATAAGCAGATGTGCAATGCCAGGAGAAGAATCACACTGAAAGAGAAGGAGCAAGAGTACTTTTGTTTAGTGTTTAATAACACAATTGTACAATATCAGACTGTGGCAGCATCTAAACTGTAAAGTGAAAATACAGTATGGTATGAAGGCTGTTGGAAAGTCCCATAAAAAAAAAAGAACGTCATTACCTTGCTATCTCGGGAAGGGTCCTTTTAATACATTTTAGAGTTTTCTTCATAAGGGAAGAGTTTTGTAGGAGGAAAAATGGGCGAATCAGTCTCCTGACTCTTAAATTCTGCGGGACAGAATTACAGGGCAACATTACAGTCTGTCTATCTGAGGCTGACCGCTGTTGAGTCAATCCTGCCTCTCAACACATGCTCAGTATTTACAGAAAGAATATTATAAGTGACTATAATGCTTTTTTTAATGCATTTTATTTTAATTAGCTTCTTCTTTTATGTCATTTTTAAAGCGCATGAGTTCATTTTATTTAAAATTTAGTATGTTAATAAATTATAATTTAGTTATTAATAAGAACTATTAATGTATAGTTTACTTCTCATTATTTAATGTATGGAGACTTGTAATAAATTTCTACATTTTTAACATTGATTTTAAGAATATAAACAAACATTATTATTAAATTTTAAAAGTGTAAAATACTTAAAAAAAATAAAAATAAAAAAATTATATATATACATACAAAAATAAATATATATATATATATATATATATATATATATATATATATATATATATATATATATATATATATATATATATATATATATATATATATATATATATATATATATATATATATATATATATATATATATATATATATATATATATATATATATATATATATATATATATATATATATATATATATATATATATATATATATATATATATATATATATATATATATATATATATATATATATATATATATATATATATATATATATATATATATATATATATATATATATATATATATATATATATATATATATATATATATATATATATATATATATATATATATATATATATATATATATATATATATATATATATATATATATATATATATATATATATATATATATATATATATATATATATATAT